TGCATTGAAAGTGGGATATTTAGTGTGTGTGATCACAGCCTGTCAGTGATACAAAACCACAATTTTAACCATGAGCAGAAAGCATCCACTCCCAAAGGAATGTTCTCTACAACAGAGCATCGCCACCCTAGTGGAGAACGGGGTTAGGAGCCAAGCCCATGCAATGCAAGGGTCTGGCCTAGCCTTTCTCCAGGACAACGGATTGGCTAGAGAGAGGGGGGCGTCAGGGATTGGCTAGAAAGGGGTGTGTGCAGAAATGGGAGAGGGGAAAACACAAGTCAGCTGTTGAGATGGAGGCTTGAGACATTATCCATGCTGGTGTCACAGGTGGGAACGATCTGATGTCAGGCACCCACTAGTCTCTGTTACACGAGTGTAGCCATCTTGCCTGCACCCGGTGGATGTGCAGCTGCCGTTGCTTGTAAGAATTACTTTTTACTAGCAACTCTTGACCAGCAAGGATTAGAGCTGGTTAAAACAGCAGGTCCTTCACAATGTCCTGTTGTTCGAGTGGGTCAGCGCACGGTTCTCTTGGGGAGAAGCAGCGGTCTGGAACAGCCTGAGGCCGATGAGTATTGGTTCCCCGAGTCTCTTAGAAATGAGATGGAAAGCTCTCTCCCTGGTACTTCGAAATGAATGTTAGTTTGCCCTGAGCTGGATAGTCCAGGCAAGCCCGATCTCATCAGATCTCAGAAGCTAAGCAGGGCTGACCCTGGCAAGTATTTGGATGGGAGACCTCCAAGGGATACCAGAGCCGGGAGGCCAGAAGCAGGCTATATCAAGCCACTTATCTGAATGTCCTCCACGTCCCAGTAGGAGTTGCAGAGGTCACCATGACTTCCAGGCACAGGCACACACACACACAAAATAATGCAAACAAAATTTTTTTTTAGCCATGTCAATCTGTCTGTAGCAGTAGAAAAGAGCCAGAGTCCAGGAGCACCTGAAAGACTAACCAAATCTGTGACAGGGGAGGAGCTTTCCTGAGTCACTGCTCCCTTCTTCAGGTACCTAAGATACCCGAAGAAGTGAACAGTGACTCACAAAAGCTCCTACCCTGCCCCATATTTGGTTAGTCTTTCAGGTGCTCCTGGACTCTGGCTCTTTTCTACTGCAAAAAAAAAAAGTTAGTTCTGCCTGTTCTGCGTTACAATACTGCCATCATTGTGCGGACCAGTCCCCCAAGGGAGGCTGAACATCTACATGTGTGCAGTGCAGTACGTTCACACGGGGCCCGTAATACTCCCTTTGCAGTGCAGAGTGCAGCAAAGTGCATCGAAACTTTGCAGCACGGCTCAAGGCAGAGATTAATGTCAGCATTAGGACACGCGTAATCGTTTTGCAACACAAAGAGGGCGGGAGCTTAATGGAAGAGGCAAGGTTCTCTAAGGGCTGGCGATTAATCTCAACCGCTCTGCTTTCAGACAAAGGGCAGAGGAGGAGCAGCAGCAGCAGTTCCAGCACACGCTTCTGGTGGAAGCCAGCAGACTCGAACAGCGGCAGGATATCTCCCGCCCCTGGGTTTATTCCTACTTCCAGCTTCCTTTTCTGAAAGTGGGAGATGAAGATGGCTGATCTTTTTTAAAAACTCCTCGGTGCAGTTTAGCAGAGTGTGGTCTTTGCATCCAAAATGTCGACACTCTCCCAGTTGTTCTCCATGTGACAGTAGAGACAGTCAATGTCCCCTCTAAGCTGTGGAATCTTGTGGGCAAAAATTCTACTTCGTGAGCCACTGGCATTAAAGTTGTGAGCGACCGATTTGGCTACTGCATAGATTAGTTTGCTCTGGAGCCCTCCTTCCTGAGCTAAGACAAAAATGTGTGAGCCGGAGGCTAAAAAACTGTGAGCTAGCTCACACTAACTCAGCTTAGAGGGAACACTGGAGACAGTAGAGAAATCAAAATTTCAATGACTTCCAAGCCCTGTTCTGGAAACACGCAACAGAAGGAACAGTTTCACCTGGAGCAGAAAACTGTGCATATTCCAGACTTATTGTTGGAGAGATGGGACTTGCAGCAGCGTAGAGATCCTCTGTAACCTTTGTAGAAGCGATCTTTTAAGGAAGCGTGACAAAGATGTAAGTCGACTGCGCTCCTTTGTTGTAGAGCACAGGTGAACCTGCAGCCCAACAAGCAAAATCTGGGCTATGAAATCAATTATGTGTGACCCTCCCAAGGATCCCTGAAATGGGTCTTTGCACTTACTATGTGCTGTAAAGCCACAAAGAGAAGGCCCACGTTCTAGAAGTCCCTGTATTCCCATGGCGAGAGGTAAGGATGTCCCAGCTGTAGTGGAGCTAGGAACACATTGATTTTAAACACACTACAGGCCGTTCTGGTCCCCAAATTCCTGAACATCCAGGTACTGGCGTCTATCTATTCAGTGCACTTCTATCCTGCCCTTCTTCCAAGGGGTTCAAGGTGGCACGTATTTTAATCCCATGTTACAAGTACATTTGTTTTCATAAGAAAGGGACAAGGGGCATTCACTTGACAAATGAAACTGGGGGGGAGGGGGGGACTAGTACCTGGACAAATGTAGGGTTTAAATCACAGTGAGTCACACACCTAAGAATTACTCGACAGACGTATAAAGAAAAATCAAGAGTTCACTCCATACAGACACAGTACACGAGTTCAGTGTAACTCGTGAACTCGGCTCCTGTGAAAGGAGACCAAGAATACCTGTACCAAGAGCACCCAGCTTTTTGGGCAATAAATTCAAACTGGGATTTCCCAGATGCCAGCTGGACAAGTTGAACTCTAGAACACATTGACTCTCAAAAGTCCGAGTGCATCCAGACCCTTTTACCCCAGAGCTGTCGAACTCATTTCTTAACGAGAGCCAGATCTGGCATAAATGTCACTTTGTCGGGCTGGGTCACGTGTGCCATAAAATGTAATGCCAGGTACCGGAGACAGAAACTTTATAAAGGACACAGGCAAACCCAATTAACGATATTAATGTTATACTCAAAATACGAACAAAAGCAATTGATTCCCAGCAGCAAAAGCAATTGTTTTACTGAGGAATGCACAAAAGCCCAATAAATGTATTTAATCACATGCAAGATTCGTTTTTTTTTCCAAGGGACACTATAAAAAAGGGGAGTAACTTATATTTCCATACATACCAGTTGCTTGCGGACCAGGTTAGAGTCCTGAACAGGCCTGTTCAGGCCTTATGTTTGACACCCTTGCATCACCCTAGTGGCCTAGTGCTTCTTTCCTCATTAGCATGGGGGAGGGGAGAGAATCAGTTTACTATCAGATACAGCAATGGTTGTTTCATGGTGGACAGAGGAAAAGAGGAGGAGGAGGTTGGGTTTATACCCACTACCCGACTCTCAGAGCAGCTTATAATCTCCTTTCCCTTCCCCTCCCCACGACAGACACCCTGTGAGGCAGGTGGGGCTGAGAGAGCTCTTTCGAGAACTGCCCTTGAGAACAGCTCTGAAAGCACTTATGACTGACCCAAGGTCACACCAGCAGCTGCATGTGGAGTGGGGAACCAAACCCAGTTCGCCCCGATTAGAGTCCGCGCTCCTGACCACGACGCCCAACTGGCTCTCTGGTTTGGAAAAGTGCCAGAGTGAAACACAAGCCCCACCCCTTTGACATGCTCATTCTTACAGGTATGGACCGTCTTGGTTAACATTGACACTTAACCCCGTGCTTGGATTTTTGAAAACAAATTTTAATTTTTAAAAAAAGTTTTAGCATGTGTACAAAAAGGCATCAGAAGCGGGACATGGAAAGTACAAGCGTTGCAGAAGATCCATTTAAACACTTTACAGTTGAGTGCCGGCTTCAGGCAGGGGGGGGGAAACTACTCACAATTCACCGGTTTGCTAAATCACGCATGAGGGAGGACACTGCGATTTTATGGGGCTCCCCCCCCCCTTTCCTGGCAACAACAACAAAAAAAGCAGAGGTAGAGCAACGTGTTTCTATCCTGCCCTTGTCGCAGGCTGAACCCAAGCGAGAGGGCTCTTTCTCGCAAGACAGCAACAGCACCCCTCAACTTCCTACAATAGCTATCAAGGTCAAAAAGTGTTAACACAACTCATAAGGAACTCATTAGGAAAGGTTTTTCAAAAGGGGATGGCCCTCCTTTCAGGATACTAGTTCACAGGACAGACGCCACACCGCCACCGAACTTCTCATTTCAGAATGTTGCTGATTTGCTACTTACGGAGGGTTGGAAAGTGTTTTCAGAAGAACCTACACGCTAGCACAGGAGGTGGACGTGAGCTTCCTGGGAACCGACTGGGCTTGCTTCCGGCTATCCAGAAGCTTCAAGTCAAATGACGGACACTTTGGGTTTCAAAAGAGCCCGGGCCCTGATCTTCGGCCTGTGCTTTTACAAGCGCCTCTGGACTTTGTAACGTGAACATCCTTTAAGTATAAAGTACAATGCATGCGGCTTCTTCTCATTTCCAGGGAATACAGCATTTGTTGAACAAACCCCAAAGGCGAACCCAGATTTTCAGGGCAACACTAGGTGTTTGAGCTGCAATTCAGAGAAAAGCTATGCTTACGTCACATTGAAAATCGATACACACTGGCCGTGACAACAGTCTTTGTTCTCATCCCATTCAATAAGCCTGCTATGCAGCCAGTTGCCTCTGGATCTAGGCTCTGGTTGGGGGGGGGGGTTATGTAACGTTATGAATAAGTGGTCAACCGATTCCTTGGTATTTCCATGTCTTACAACTTACTTTATTTTTCAACATTATGTTAGCATGAAATTTCAGAATTCTGGAGGCACGCACTGCAAGTACAAAATACAACAGAGAGTTTAAAGATGAACTGAGATTGCTATTTTAAAATTTCATAGCAAACATCAAGGACGGTGCCAGACTGTAAGACTAATCAAACCCCATTTTTATACATTAAGTAGCTCTGGTCAGTATATGAAACCAACGCTCCTTAATATTTTTTCCCCTGTGGTTTTGTCAAATCGTCCCTCAACTTCAGTTAAGCCAAAAGAAAATGCAGCTCTTTACATATTTGTTTTATTTATGAGAAGCTGGTACAGTCAGCAGCCATTAAAAACCCACATCCCGGGCCAAAAATTGTAACATACAAATCATTATCAATTCTTATCCCATAAAAGTGACATATTAACTGCTATAAATTCGACCTCTCGTAGGCTCTTCTGTGGATGCAAAATCAGCAGACTCTTTCACGTTGTTTCCGACAAAAGCATCTTGAATTTATATTACCAGAAAGGGGGGGGGGGAGAAAGCCCTACATTTCCCCGTCAACATTTGGGATACTTCTCTGTTCTAGGCTATCGGCAAAAGCTACAGAAAACAGTTCTGAATCTGAGGACACGTTCTTTCCTCCTTGTGTAGATTTCAGAAGAACTTCCATCTCCTTTGTGACTTAAAATCCACGAATAGAAGTCGCATCAAAACTTTGGGGCAAATGCGGAAGTGATTAGGTACCCTTCTGCGCATCGAGCCGATCTGTTAACGTGCTTGAAAACACACAAACGCTTGTGTGGGTGGGTGTATTTCTAAAGAGGAGACGGGGGAAAACAGGGGAAGTACAACTGCAGCAGGATCACAAGAGTTCAGCACTACGGAGACAAATGAGAGGTGGGTGATGAGTACGAGGATTCAGAACAGACACTTGGGAAATAAAACCCCGGTTCGGGGAGTGGGGGGGGGGGTCGCTTTCAATTCAGTGTTATATGCCACATTACAAAAAGAACTATTATTTAAAAATAAAAAAGGATCAAAGGGAAAAAAGGGGAGGGGGGAGAGGAAGCAAACAGCCTAAATTGTTGAATGGCCTCCCGTCTGTTCCTGATAAACCTCAATCACGTCTTCTTCTTCCATCCCGAGCTGTGAAAGAGGAAACACATTTGGGTTTTGGTGTTTTTTTTAAAGTTCAGTTTTCTGAATTCACAGCAGTTCATTTGGTTCTCTCCTGTGTGGCTATAGGCCATTAAGCTAGCAGAAAAGTACACTATGAGTAACAAACGAGTTATATAAAATAAATGCTAGTTGTCTGGTGAACTGACTCAAGTCATTACCGTATAAACCAACTTCATATCCTGTACATTATATATTTATAACGGGTAAAAATGTCGAATCATAACTATATGAAGCTCAACTACCACCCAGGGGAGAATATTTGCGTTAAATATGTTTCTTCAGATATTTTTACTACTCTGGAAAACGGTATAAGAACATAAGAGATGCCAATGTTGGATCAGGCCAAAGGCCCATCCAGTCCAACACTCTGTCACACAGTGGCCAAAAATACCAGGTGCCATCAGGAGGTCCACCAGTGGGGCCAGGACATTAGAAGCCCTCCCACTGTTGGCCCCCCCAAGCACCAAGAAGACAGAGCATCACTTGCCCCAGAGTCCCTATCTATACCTTGTGGCTAATAGCCACTGATGGACCTCTGCTCCATATGCCTATCTAATTCCCTTTTGAAGCCGTTCATGCTTGTAGCCGCCACCACCTCCTGTGGCAGTGAATTCCATGTGTTAATCACTCTTTCGGTGAAGAAGTACTTCCTTTTATCCGTTCTAACCTGACCGCTCAGCAATTTCATAAGAACATAATGTATGCAACAACACCATTTAACAGATACTCTTTATATATTGTAAAACTGAAGTTAACCACACATTTGTAACACCACATAAATTTTATATCAAAATATGGGTTTTCCATCTTCCTCTGTATCTCAAAGCACAAGCAAGAACAGTCGCCAAGACAATTACTTGCTTATCTGTTCCCCAAGATTTTCCTAGGGCTAAGACTGGCACAGGCAAGTGGGCAATTCTGGGGAGACGCAGGGTGGCATCCTTTAGAGAAGACTTGCCCATTCCTTGCTCAGGAGATACAGTCCCATGATCTGACATTGCCCTGTGGTGGTGGTAGAAAGTGCCATCAGGTCACAGCTGACGTATGGCAACCCTGTAGAGTCTTCAAGACCAGAGATGCACAGGAGTGGTTTGCCAGTGTCTGCCCCCGTGGAGAGACCCTTCCTTAGTGGTCTCTCATCCAAGGACTAACCAGGGCCAACCCTGCTTAGCTTTCAAGATTTGACAAGTTGGGCCTTCGAGGTCAGGCACTGGTATACGTATGATACTTAACCTTAATAAGAGGATATTTTTATTCCTGATTTGTTCTTTACACAGGAATGCAGTAGAAAGGAGCAAGAGTCCAGGAGCACTTTAAAGATTAACAAAATTTGAGGAAGGGTAGGAGCTTTCGTGAGTCACTGCTCACTTCTTCAGATACTTCACAAAAGCTCCTACCCTGACGCAGATTTTGTTAGTCTAAAGTGCTACTGCACTCTTGCTCTTTCCTACGGCTACAGCCAGATTAACATGATCTATCTTGATCTATCTACAGGAATGCAGTTCTTAAACTCACTGTGCTCTACAGGAAGTCACGATTCAGCTCTGTGTCTTCATGCATATACTAAGAGTTAATAAATGTAAGATAGCTTCAACATGCTTGTATTAACAGCAGGACAGAAAAGGCCGGATCTAGGCCAGATCTCCCTGCATCCACTGTCAGTACTATCTGTCACCTCTTGCTGAACGGTTTTGGGGTTTTTTTAACAACATCTCTGCATATCTTCAATACCACAACACCTAGCTTTATAAAAATGGTAGTATCCTTGGATCTTCCTTCAGAGACTGTGGTCTCGATTGATTGAAAGTAAAGCAGGTCTTTCTGATGCCCAGGTTGTCAGTTCATTAACTTATTTAAAATGTTCTTAATGCCACCTTTCCACCCAAAGTTCCCAAGACAGCAGATAAGCAAAAACACTGCAATAAAACTTTTAAAATACATATATAGAGAACAGTTAAACAAAAGGGGAGGGGTTGTGGCTCAGTGGTAGAGCCTCTGCTCAGCATGCAGGAGGTCCCAATTACAATCCCGGGCATCTCCAGTTTATAAGAAGAGCCCTGCTGGATCAGACAGGTGGTCCATCTAGTCCAGCATTCTGTCTCACACAGTGGCCAACCAGTTCCTCTGGAGGGCCAACAACAGGGCATAGAGATCGAGGCCTTCCTAAGAACATAAGAAGAGACCTGCTGGATCAGACCAGTGGTCTATCTCGTCCAACATCCTGTCTCACATGGTGGCCAACCAGTTCCCCTGGACGGCTAACAACAGGGCCGAGAGGCCGAGGCCTTCATATTTGAAAAGCTTTCTTTTTTGTAGTCTTCATTGTGAAGAAATCATTAGAACAGTTCTTTCCACTACTTACAGCAATCCAAAAGTATTTATTTACTGCTTATAGTGCTATGAAGCAGTTTTGGATTGCTATAAGCAGTATATAAACACTTTTGGGTTTACTACTGGAAAGAACTGTTCGAATGATTTCTTCACCGAGAAGACTACCGCTTTGTTAGCCGCCCTGAGCCTGCTCGCAGGATGGGCGGGGTATAACTATAATAAATAAATAAAATAAAATAAAAAAGAAAGCTTTTCAAACATAATATGGTTGTTAAAATTGTGATATCCTGTTGAAGTTATTCTATGCTAAGTGTCTGAGAATCGTTCATGTCAATAGAAATTATCGATGTATATATCTTTAAACAGGCACAGCTGAGACTGCAATAGTACTTGTAAAGCACAACATATGGTTTTGTGTGTTACTTGTTAGAATGATTTCAATACAGAATACATTGTTGTTACATGGTGTTGCACTGTTTACTCTAGAGTTACCCACCATGTTCCCAGTTTGTATTTCATTGTACCTGTTAGGAATACAGCAAGGGCGCTTGGACATTCTGGGCCTTCTCAGGAACAACCATCTAAATTCAAAACTCTCTTCCTATCTATCCACACACAATTTGCTCTACATAGCAAGGATGACTTTGGCTTAGATGCAGCGGTAATTTTCCCCAATGCAAGGAGGTTTCGTGGCACGAGGGCTCTAGAGCAGGGGTGTCAACAATGCGGACCGGGGGCCAGATCAGGCCCTCAGAGGGCTGCAATCCAGCCCACAAGGCCCTGGCTGTTTCCTGCTTCCTTTTCCAGTTCTGCTGCTGCAATAACTCAGAGCAAGAGGTGTCAGTTATCAGAGACTGTTAAATAGACAAAATATTGCGAGAGTGCTAGTGTTTTAAGCATGTTTTATTTAAAGTTTAAAAAATCTTTTAGTGTGTTTGTGTCCTTTATAAAGTTTATATCTCTGCTACCTGGCATTACATTTTATGACACATGTGGCCCGGCCCAGCAAGGTCTCATTTATGTCAGATCTGGCCCTCATAACAAATGAGTTCAACTTCCCTGCTCTAGAGCATAGCCCGCTCTCACCAGCTCTCAGAAGCTATGCAGGGTTGGAAGACTCTGCAGAGGAAGGCAATGGCAAACCACCTCTGTTTCTCACTTGCCTTGAAAGCCCCTTGCTGGAGTCACCATCAATCAGTTAGTTATACCTTGACTGCACTTTACACACACACACACACAGAAACAAACAAACACACACACACACAGGCACCACGGGCTTTCATCAGAGGAACATGACGTTCTTGCTTCTCCACTGAAGCCCCTCAACTCCCCCCAAAATGCTGCTCCACAGAAAACTGGAGGGCAGCAGCTGGAGGAGGAATCAGTGGAAACGGCCTTCCATGGCCACTAGCAGAAACCTACTGCTGGAGCCAAACCTGTATCACCTGAGCAGCGTCCTTCCAAACCACACAGAAGTTGCATCTGAAACATGGGAAAGTGTAAAAACTGTCCAACATTCCCATCCTATATCTGGAAGTTTTAGATGCCACTTGGAACTATTAATTTGAAAACTTACCTCTTTTGGAGTATGATTATCAGTAATTCTCTGACCCTCAAAGAGGAACCTGAGTGAATTCATTGGAACTCCCTAAAAAAAATAAACCACACACACAATAATTCACCGAGACATACAAGACTAAAAAAAGTTATCTATATAGAACTCTCTACTATATAATCTTATTTCACTGTAAAATTTATATGCAGAATGCCTCTTTTATACCTGAGGGGGCAGAAGCAAATATTTCGTGTGCATGTCTTTACCAGCAGTCTATCCCCGCTGTTCATGGTATTTGTCATCTTACTGCATTCTTTTCTATTTTTGCAACTCCACTTTTTGCATTGTTTATGACATATCATGTCTGATGCTTTTTTATTTTTGCACTGTTTCTAATTTTTGTGCTCCTAGTCCTCCTGCATTCCTAGTCCTCCTGCATCGTGTGCTGGATGTCTCCTGCCATTTGATTATATTGTCTTGCAGTGCATAACACACCTTGATTCTCAGCAAGAAAGGCGGGCTATAAACAGATAAAACTAAGAAGCCACTTTTTTGACAGTACATCCAGGTGGACAGCCATGTCGGTCTGAAGCCACAGAACAAAAGTTCGAGTCCGGTGGCATCTTGAAGACCAACAAAGTTTAATTCTGGGAATAAGCTTTTGTGTGCCTGCACACTTATTCGGATAACACTGAAACAGACTTCAGCACACCTTACGTATATGTGGAAGGGGTTAGTTGCCAGGATGGGCTAGTTAGAGTCAAGATGCATAAGTAACTGGGCAATAGGTATAGCTGAGATTGGATTAAAGCAGTAGGTAATAATTTTACAGACAATTCAGAATCCTATTACTCCCATTTATGACGAAATTATTTAACCAAATAATGAGAGATAAATAAGCACCACTCATGGGAAGACGCAAGAATTACAGTGGTTTTAAAGCCTGGTAAACAAACAAACCGACTAGATTCCTATCGACCAATAGCATTATTGAACCAAGATGCAAAAATCTTCACTGCTGTCCTTGCGTCTAGACTGAGTACTATAATTGAGAATTATGTTTCTCCAGACCAATCGGGTTTTGTACCCAAAAAAAGGCATGTTTAAATGCCTCCCCCTCCCCCCACCACTCCCCCCCCCTCCTTCCTTCCCTTTCTGTCCTTCCCCAGCCTCCCCACTGCCATGGGGAGGCCAGGGAGGGAAAAAGAGAGGGAGAGAGAAGGCATATTTAAATGTCTTCCCTTTCCTTCCCCAGCCTCCCATGGAGGGAGGGGCCGGGGAAGGAAATAGACAGTGAGAAGGCAGGTTTAAATGCCTTCCCTTCCCTTCCCTCCTCCAGCCAGTGAGCAGGGAGTGAAACTCACCAGTGGAAGAGGCAGGGCGGCTGGGGAAGGGTGAACCCGAATAAAAGCCGAATAAAACTGGCTTTTGCGGGGCTCAGCTATATCGGCAGCCAAATACAGATCGCTTATCGGTATTCGGATTACACTATACTCCCAAAATACCAATAGGGTATTTTTTAGGTATCCACTTGGATCGGTTTAAGCCAAATGCACCCCCCCTAATCTAGATCCTATAACCCTACTACATCTATACCAGCATTCTTGGCCTACAGTTCTCTAGTTCTGACGGCTTTACTGCCTGTTCTCTTCTAGAGAAACAAGCCCTTAGTCCCTCTTCTCTTCGTAACTCCCCCTCAACTTTCCTTTAGATTCCACTGCCAATTTTGCCCCTTCTAAGCCCCACCCCTTATGCGTTCTACTTCCTGGTACGCAACCTCCTCAGCTTTCTAGTCCTCCATCTTCCTAAAAGTTCTTTCTGTCCATAAGGACAAGTTCTTTCTGTCCATAAGGACTATGGGACACTTTGATTTCAACCAAGAGGAACTTTAACTTCTCTTTACAGAAGCTCAACTGCTAGATTGAAATCCGGTAGCACCTTAGAGACCAATAAAGTTTTGGGGGCATGAGCGTTCAAGAGACAATGCTCTCGTCATCAGATTTCTGACGAAGGAAGGTTTGATTTTTGGAAGCTCACACCCCCAAAATCTTGTTGGTCTCTTAAAATGCTACCAGATTAGAATCTTGCTCTTCTCCTGCACAACAGCAGGGCTACCCTCTGGAACTATCTCAGAGGAAGCTGGATAGTTTGCAAAAATCTATCACTGGAAATTTCGCTTCCTCAGTAATGAGGAAGATCTCATTTGAAGATTCCGTGATATCATAATAGCTAAATTCATCCCGGCCAGTGGCACATCCCACAGCATCTTCGAATTCTATTAACCTGATGTACTGTGTTGTTCTATTTATCCCACTGCAGTCCCTTTGGCTTCTGCAGAAGAAAAAAAAAGAACTCGTGCAAGGGAGGTCGAAGCTTCCACAATGTCACAAACCTGTCTCTGACAGTACGATTCTTTAAGTTTTTTTAGATGCGTTGTCATTTTCACCTTGAAGTGGATTTCGCTGCTGTCCTACAAAGGAAATACAAAATATATTACCATATGATTAGGTCACTTGTTCCGTATCTGAAAGAGCTGTTTCACAATGGAAGATTACACAGACTTATGACCATGCCCTTTATTTCCCCGACTCTCTTCTCCTTGCAGTACCACAGCAGTTGATGTGAAGGTTGATTTGACACCAATCAAGTCAAATTAGTTGTCACTCTCTTTTAAACCGGATTATATTCTCTTTGCTTTGTTGAAGTTTCTGCTTTAATTTTCAGACGTTTGCACTGTATACGTATCTTTGAACACACAAAGCTGCCTTAAAGTACTGTCTACTCAGACTGGCCGCAGCTCTCCAGGGTCTCAGGCGGAGGACTTTCACGTCACCTACCACCTGATCCTTCTAAGTGGAGGTGCCGGGGATTGAACCTGGGACCTTCTGCGCGCCAAGCAGATGCTCTACCGCTGAGCCGTGGCCCCTCCCCGATTTCCATCATGATTGAAATCTGCCACACGCTCACCAATTCTGGTTATTAAAAATAAAACCCTTGTACCAACAATTTATGACAGATACAAACATATCCCCCAAAGACAAAATCAGTATCAACATGTTCATACACAAATGGTGTTGGGCTGTCCAAACAAAGCTGCATTACATTAATTTATACTACTTGGTCCACCCGGAACAGTCCTGTCTACTCTGAATGCCAGCAGCTATCTAGTGTCTAGGGCAGAGGTCTTACCCATGCCTGCAATCCAAGAAAAAGTTAAGCCAAGATGGCAAGGATTTAATTTGGGACATCCTGCGTGCAAAACACATGCACTCCTGACTGAACTATGGCCTGTCACCTATTTGAAGCCAAAAAATTAGAAGACTTAAGCAATGTTATTGGTTGCTTTATCTATTACCACAGAAGTAGGAAAAGAAGAACAAGCCCTGTAACGTACTAAGCATTGATTTCTGCATTTCACCTACATTCAGATCTGTGAATTTGGGGAGGACACCTCACAACAGATGAGAGCAAGGCAGGGCGTGTACGGGATGCAATCAGAGCCAGTTTTTGCATGACCTTGCATATAGGCTGTCTTCTAGACTGCTCTCTTCCTTCCACATTCCCCAGTGTGGTTCTGCTAGAGGGTGTGAAGCATAACTCTCTCACAGTGCTTTCGGCCCCATCAGGGCCAGTGGAGCTAAAAGGACTGCAACAGAGTGAGAGGGGATGCGGCACCGTGATACAGTAGCTGCTTGGCAAGCAGGAGGTCTGAGGTTCAATTCTCCACTTTAGAGGATCAGGTAGGAGGTCATGTGCAAGACCACCCACTTGAGACCCTAGAGAGCAAAGCTCAAGACAATGCATCCACCTGGACTGAATCAAGACCTAAGTTTCCTGTCTCATTACCAATGCTGATTTCTCCATGCCTACTACCTCTCTGGATGTCACACCTAATACATTCATACCTGCTACTGTCATTTGCCTGCTAATGTCATTTGGCATCTGAAATGACTCCACTTTCCAATATATAGGACAGATGGACTCACGTTCTAGCTGTATCTGAAGAAGTGAGCAGTGACTCAGGAAAGCTCATCCCCTGCCACGAATGTTGTTAGGCTTTACGGTGCTACTGGACTCTTGCTCTTTTCTACTGCTATGGACAGACTAACACAGCTACCCATCTTGAGTAAACTATCCTGACCCTGACGGACCAATGGTCTGATCCAATCTAAGGCAGCTTAATGTGTCAGTGTGGTGTAGGGGTTAAGGTGCTGGACTAGGATCCGGGAAATCCAGGTTCAAATCCCAAATGGGCCATGGAAGCTTGCTGGGTAACCTTGGGGCAGTTACACACTCTCAGCCTAACCTACCTTGTGGGGTTGTTGTGAGGATAAAACAAGGGAGAGGTGAATGATGTAAGCCTTTGGGTCCCCCCACTGAGGTTGAAAAGCTGGATTATAAATAAAGTACATAGATTTGTTTCTATGACCCACCACACTACCAGGAATCCACTCGAGGCTCCTCTCGCCTCTGTTTCCAGAAATCATGTCCTTTCCATTCCCACGTCATCTCAATGGTTCCTGCAATGCACTAAGGCCTCTGGGGCAATCTCCCATTACCAAAAGAGAGTGACACCGGGATGCTCCGGATGGCCTCATATTCTCTTGCACAAAAAAAGACCATGACAGTGTTGCGTCCTGCTGTCGCTTCCTCCGGGAAATGAGAGGCTATCAAGGGGCCCTGGTGAAGCCAGGGGTACTCTCCCTTTCCCCAAGGGCTGGCACCTGGTCATAACATGCCAGTTCTGGATGGAATAAAAGCAACTGCTGTAAGAGATTCATTCCTTTCTCCCATTTAAATGAGGATATGCAAGATGGGACATCTCCGACAGCAGCCAGGAGCCTGCATCCACCCTTGCTATATACACATTGATTTATTGGTAGATACGCCGATGCTCTGTGTGAACGCTGTTTTCAGATGTCATCTGCGCAAACGTGGCTCTTGTCTGGGGTTGCTCTTGGACCCAGGCCTACTGCTGGATAAGCAGGTGGCAGCTGTGGCCAGGAGTGCCTTTTACCAGCTTGGACTGGCTGGCCAGCTACAGCCTTTCCTGGGCAGAAAAGATCTGGGCGTTGTGGGGCAGGCCCGGGTTACATCTGGATTAGACGACCGCAATGCATTCTACATGGGACTGCCCTTGAAGAGTGTTCGGAAGCTGCAATTGGTACAGAACGCTGCAGCCGGGATGCTGACCGGAGTGGGTCGTAGGGACCGTATCACTCCAGCCTTGGCCCAGCTACTGGTCTCCAATTTGTTTCTGGGCACAGCTCAAGGTGCTGGTTTTGACCTTCCTTTATGGTTTTGGACCAACCTATCGGAAGGACTGCCTACTCCCTTATGAACCTGAGAGCAGAGAGAGCAGAGATTGGACTTATACCCCGCCCTTCACTACCCAAAGGTGTCTCAGAGCGGCTTACAAACTCCTTTCCCTTCCCCTCCCCACAACAGACACCCTGTGAGGTAGGCGGGGCTGAGAGAGCTCTGACAGAAACTGCTCTTTTTCAAGAACAGCTGTGCCAGGACTATGGCTTGCCCAAGGTCATCCAGCCAGGTGCAAGTGGAGGGGTGGGGAATCAAACCCGGTTCTCCCAGATTAGAGTCCGCGCACTTAACCACTACACCAAACCTGCCCAACCATTACGGTCATTTTCGGAGGCCATGCCTCAGGCGCTCCCACTTCCTGAGATTAGGTGGGCAACTCGGGAGAAGACCTTCTCGGTCATGGCCACAAAGCTCTGGAACTCTCTCCCCAGGGAGACTCATTCGTCCCCTTCTGTTGCGGTCTTTTGCCAGTGGGTGAAGATATTTTTGTCTGTTTGGCATTCCCGGAATGGTCCCTCCTTCCTAACCAGAGATTTATGTTTTGTATGTTTATTTTTTTGTATCTGTGTGTGTATGTGTTGTGTATGTGTGCTTGCATGCCTGGAAGTCACGGTGACTTCTGGCGATCCCTAGTGGGGTTTGGATGTTTTAGAGAGGTGGCTTGATAGCCCTGCCTCTGCATCCCGAGCCCTGGTATTCCTTGGAGGTCACCCTTCCAATAACGTGCCAGGGTCGGCCCTGCTTGGCGGGTTTTGTATGTTTATTTTATATGTGTTTTAGCTCTGTTTTTTAACTCTGAAAAAGAATTGCTTTAACGAGAAACTGTTTGGGATGGGGTTTTTTTTAATGGTTTATAACGTATCATGTGTGTTTTAAACTGTTTGCCACTTTGACAGCTCTTGTAAGGGCAGAAAAGTGGGGTATAAATGTTGTAAATTCCTATGCGCTTGCGAGACTGCGCCCCCATGTGACTGATCAGAAGAGCTCACCTGCCCAATGACTTTGAGTTTAATGTAGTCTCCTTCTTTCTTATCACCCAAGTCCTCTGCTGAAGGTTTGACTTCCTGCAAGGCAAACAAAACAAAAAAATCAGAAAGAGGGGTAAACTGCAACCACAGTCCGTTTTGACTGGACAGTTCTTTAGCATCTTTTAGTGTATTTACAGAGAACTGGTACCAGAGGGGACGGCTCAGTTTTTGTGAGATAGAAAGCCAGGAAAGACTGAGGTTGGAAGAACTTAATTAGATGCACAAAGACTACAGAACGAAACTCTGCTTAGGTTTGCTCTCTCAGATAAGCAATCTCGGCATGCGTTCCAAAGTGGTACAATCTCATACGCAGGAGGTACCAGACCAGCATCTTTGGAATGGCAAACCATTATTGGAAGGCAATGCAAAAGTCCCCTGGGTGTAGTCTGCTCAACAAGAAAAGTTTGCTTTCCCTTTGTTACCTGCTGAATAAAGGTGCTCTCCAAGCTGGAATTCAGAGGACCTGTTTTTCAACAGCAGTGCACCCAACATTCAAATCACTAAGGCTTAACTATATTAAAGATAAATAAAATTAAAAAGCACCCCCTTATTCCCAACGGTTTACATGCTGCATTGCAGTTTGTTGTAGTAATGGCTTAACAAACAGGGAGAAGGGCCTGGATACATCCGAATAGTGAATTAATTACTTTTCTACAAAAGCTGGAAGATGGAGCACTTCGTTTGTGCCAGTGAAATAGGACAAATCTGTGCTAGAACTCATAGAGGAAATTAAACCAAGTATATTTCAATACTACTTGAAGCTGCCTTATATTGAATCAGAGCATCAAACCATCAAGCTCAGTACTGTCTACTTGGACAGGCAGCGGCTTTCCAGGGTAGAGGTCTTTCCACGAAGAGTAATTCACAGGTGGAATTGACTGCTGCAGGAAGTGGTGGCAGCTACAAGCACAGACAGCTTCAAGAGGGGATTGGATAAACATATGGAGCAGAGGTCCATCAGCGGTATTAGCCACAAGGTATAGGTGGAACACTCTGTATGGGGCAGTGATGCTTTGTATTCTTGGTGCTTAGGGGACAACAGGGGGGGGTTCTGGAGTTCTGGCCCTGCTGGTGGACGTCCTGATGGCACCTGGTGACAGAGTGTTGGACTGAATGGGCCACTGGCCTGATCCAACATGGCTTCTCTTATGTTCTTATGTATGGGGCAGTGATGCTCTGTATTCTTGATGCTTGGGGGGCAAGAGTGGGAAGCTTCTGGAGTTCTGGTCCCGCTGGTGGACCTCCTGATGGCACCTGGGTTTTGGCCACTGTGTGACACAGAGTGTTGGACTGGATGGGCCATTGGCTGCCTGATCCAACATGGTTTCTCTTATGTGGGATACTAGGTCATCACCCCACAGGAAATGGGTATGTAACTAAGTACAAAACCAATAATTTTCTGGGGCTGTAAACTGGGGGGGGTCTTGTCTTTTACAAAACTCTACCATTATTGATCTTCTTACAGAAGAATCCTGTATAAATTCCTAGTAACTCCGGGGTTTTCCAGAACAACAGAGTCCAAAAGCCCCTATGTATGTATGTATGTATGTATGTATGTATGTATGTAAAGTTTTATCAAGTCGCAGGCGACGTATGGAGGCTCCATAGGGTTTTCACGGCAAGAAGTGTCCAGAGGTGGTTTGCCATTGCCTGCCTGCACATCATGACCCTGGTATTCCTAGGACTCCCCCCATCCAAATACTGACCAGAGCTGACTCTGCTTAGCTTCCGAGATTTGATGAGATCGGGGTGTCCTGGCCTATTCAGGTCAGGGCAAAGGCCCTATACCCCATCATTAAGCTTGTGCTGAAAGTTTTAATAATGAAGAACCAATGGGAAGTCTCAGCAGGTGTAAAAAAGACAACACATCTGTTTTATTTAATAATGACAGTAATGCTGTTCACCTTAAAAGCAGCCATATATTTATCCTTTGGATGAAGAGTGCCTGGAGACATCTTCTGGAGAATTCCCAGACTATGTAACCCTCACTTTGGGACTGAGAATCCTCATGCAAGATGCACACACAAAAATGTTCTGCACAATGGACAGCTTCCTTAGCATTTAATAAAGCATTAAGCTTCCTGTTCTGTAGGCTTTGTTTGCTTAAACCTAAAATTTACTAATACTTCCACATACCTTGGGCAAACTTCAGCTGCATTAAAAAAATCTATTCATCATGTGCTTGGGCAAACTTCAGCTGCATTAAAAAATATCTATTCTTAGATGGAAGTTTACAATACATCTCTGAGAGGGGTTTGGCAACCAGAGACTTGCGCTTGGGAAAAAACAGAAGAAGAAGAGACTGGATTTATACCCTGCCCTTCACCCGGAGTCTCAGAGCACCTTACAAACTCCTTTCCCTTCCCCTCCTCACAACAGACACCCTTGTGAGGTAGGTGGGGCTGAGAGACCTCTTTCCAGAACTGTCCTTGAGAAAACACCTTTGACAGAACTATGGCTTGCCCAAGGTCATCTAGCAGCTGCAAGTGGAGGAGTGGGGAATCAAACTCGGTTCTCTCAGATTAGAGTCCGTGCACTTAACCACTACACCAAACTGGCCTGATTTATATTATTTTAAAAAACAGAGCCTATGTAACCTAAGCGTGCCAAATAAATGCAAGAGTAAGGGAATTAAAAGCAATAAAACAGGGATGTTGAAAAAGTTAGAACTACTGCTGCTACAGCAACGTAAGAGACGGTAGAATTTTGAACTGTTTGAAACACAGCAAAACAGTTATGATGGAATCATATCAACATCTTGCTTGGGAAAAGCTCTTCCTGTGAAGTTCCTGCCTGGATTAATCTTTCTACCTGTTACTGATCCCACCTGGAAATCACAGTGCAAAAGACAGCAAAAAAAGGACAACAAACCGGCCTAAGAAAAGAAGGGCTGTCGTGTATTAATTCTAGCAGGTACCACCAATTCCAGAGTGGCAAAAAGCCAGTTAATGCAACTTGTTTTGAGAAAACATGCAGTATTTCCGGGAACTGTTTCCATTGCACCAATGGCATTTCTAGCAGTTTGTGGACTCAGTCCTGCAACCCAAGGCAAAGGTATTTTGGGAAGTCTTCCATTCAGTCCAGTTATTAGATTTAGAATCCATAACGTTATAGCAAACTACAGTAGTACAAAAAAAAAATTTATCAAGCCATCCAGACAATATAAATTTACCTTGTTTGAGCTTGGGTTTTGAATTATGTCATTCATAATTTGATAAAAAGCTGAAGAGTAGAACGACAAAATGACAACCACAGAAGAATGGGACAGTTAAGGGTTATGGGTGACAATTGAAAGATCTAACCGGGAAAGCTGTTCTATCGAACTCACCCCTTCTCTACCCACATGATCTCTGGGAAACGAAACCACCTGAAGAAGCAGTGACTCAGGAAGGCTCCTCCCCACCACAAATTTTGCTAGTCTTTCAGGTGTGCCTGGACTCTTGCTCTTTTCTACTGAACAAGTGAGCAGTGTCTCACGAAAGCTCACACAATTCTGTTAGTCTTTCGGGTGCTGCCACAGTTTTGGTTAGTCTTTCAGGTGCTCCTGGACTCTTGCTGTTCTCTACTGAAGAAGGGAGGCAGTGACTCAGGAAAGTTCCTCCCCTGCCACAGATTTTGTTAGTCTTTCAGGTGCTCCTGGACTCTGGCTCTTTCCTACTGAACAAGTGACTCACGAAAGCTCACACAATTCTGGTGCTCCTGGACTCTTGCTCATTCCTACTGAAGACATGAGCAAGTGACTCAAGAAAGCCCATAGCCTGCCACAGATTCTGTTAGTCTTTCAGGGGCTCCTGGATGCTGAGTCTTCTCTACTGAAGAAAGGAGCAGGGGCCCAGGAAAGTTCCTCCCCTGCCACAGATTTTGTTAGTCTTTCAGCGGCTCCTGGACTCTGGTTCTTTTCTACTGAAGAAGGGAGCAGTGACCAGTGTTCCCTCTAAGCTGAGTCAGTGTGAGCTACCTCGCAGTTTTTGAGCCTTTGGCTCACCCATTTTGGTCTTCGCTCAGGAAGGATGGGCTCCAGAGCAAACTAATCTATCCAGTAGCCAAATCGCTCGCTCACAACTTTAATGCCAGGAGCTCACAAAGCAGGATTTTTGCTCACAAGACTCCACGGCTTAGAGGGAGCGCAGGCAGTGACTCAGGAAAGCTCGTCCCCAGCCAGCCGCAGATTTTGTTAGTCTTTCAGGTGCTCCTGGACGCTGGCTCTTTTCGCCCACCCGGGCGTGTCTGGGACAACGCGTGTCCCAAAGGTCGTGAAGACGCACCAAGAGAGGGACTCCCCCACCCCTCCCGCTCAAACGTGGTCCCGCAACGCGATCGAACAGAAACCTCCCAGCCGCCGCACCGCATTATATTCCTAAAAAGACACACACACACACACCCTCCGCCCCCCCCCCCAAAAAAGCCCCAACTCTCTGCTGGGGGCGGCTGCTCCGGATGCGTAAAGGTGCCTTTTCGGAGAGAGAGGCAGCCTCGGAAGCGGGCGCAGCCGCCAGGCCAGGAGAGGATCTCCGGCCTTTTGTTTACGGCCAGAGGCGGCCGCCCCCTCCGTCCCCCGCCGGCCGCTCGCC